GAAGGTCAGGTCAAGGTCAGGTCAAATAAGGTCAAATTTAAAACTTGATATTTTACATAAATTGGGTATCGATTCGATGCAGCTCGTCACGGGGAGTCTAATGGTGGTCTTCGTTTTGCGCTACGTGGTCTAAAATTGCTAAAATTGAGTTCAAAATTTGACATCAATTTTTAACAATTTTTCACTATAATTTGGCCAAAAAAGAGATAACGAACTAAAATTTGGTATATAGATAGAAGAGGGTAGGGACTATCTATATATTCCGTTTTTTCGAAATTCGAAAAATTGGGATTTTTTAAACCAAATTTTCGATTGTTTAGGGGTCAAAATCACAAAATATTGAAAATCCGAGAATGCAGTTTTGTAGCGCCGTCTTTTCTCTACATGACCATATAAAGAACTTTGGAATTGCTCGTTAACCGTAGCTTATGTTAGTTTTTCATGATTTCATGTTTTTGCTCATTTTTGCTCGAACATGACCTCAGTTTGACCTCAATAACTCCTGACCAAAGATGGCCTATGACTTGACATTTTGTATGACGGGGTGTCAAACTGATGTCTCAAAAGGTACTGCAAATTTGGCGGCGCCGCGCGCCGTTTTCTCACCATTCAAGAAAAACCACAGGGGGGGATGCAAAATGCCCTCCCCCACATCAGGGCGCGGGTTAGATTGAACCTTCAAGATTAAATTAAAATTCATTCGACGTGTCTTCACGAGAGGAACACCAGAGCCAATCGCCAAAAAGTTGGTGTCGTTCCCAGGCATTCCTATTTCCTATCATCAGCGTACTGTTTTTCATTCAAAGATGTCGCAATTTCGCATCGCCTTCCGTGCGAGCGATTCAAGGCCGTCTATTTTCCTAGGTATGCACTATGCAGCAAGATGTTAATTTCATAAAGCAATTGGCTATTGGTGAACTACCTATGCTATGCCCAGGGCTGCGGAGTCGGAGTCGGAGTCGGAGTTGGAGTCGGTCGGAGTCGACAATTCTGCCCGGAGTCGGAGTCGGAGTCGCTAAAATCTTACCGACTACGACTCCGGCGTCGTAGTTCTACATTGCTCAACGTCATGCACTGCACCTGTTTGATTGACGATACTGCGCTCGAAATTAAATGTTGTTGAAAAAAGACCATTTTGCTATTTTGGAGGAACATTTTCAGCGAAAGAAGCAGAAGACGGTGAATTCCCCAGAACCTCGCCCTGGCAGGGCATTTTTCATAACACGGCCTGGCAAGGGCGGGGGGTCGATGCGACCACCCCCCCCCCTTCGCGATTGGCTCCTATGGCACAGGTAGAAACACCAAATTTGGTAGGTAGGTGGGCCCCCTGGAGTTCTCGCCCCTTTGCAAATTTGGTTGCTCTAGGTCAATATTTAGGGGGGTTTTGGTGGGTATAAATGTAAAAATTTCGCTAAAACAGGCCAAAAGTTTTTCGCTTATAACTTCTGATCTAATTAAGATAGAGCAAAAAGAAAAGCACCAGTGAACTCAGCACGTCAAGGCGCGTCGAATGATATACTTTTTAGCTTGCTTAAGTGTACTTAATTTTTTTAAAGTTTAATTAAAGTAAACTTTAATTAATTAATTAAGTTTAACTTAACCAAATTGCATCATATCGCATATCATTCGATTCGGCTGATCATAAGGAACACAATGACACCGCTTTTTAAGCTCTAGCGTCATTATGTGCCAAGTTATTGGCAAAAACGTCATTTGACCTCAGTTGACCTCATTTGACCTGACCCATGGATAAGTACACCAAACAAAGAAGCACCAAGTGACCTGCTATTAAGTACTGTGGTTTCAAAGCACAAAAGTGATAGAACGAGGCGGATATCTCCAGTATTTTCCGAATTTAGTATTTTCCCATAGGCTTAACATTACGGCGTAATGATCTCTAACTGACCTCAGGTCAGTGACCTCAAAAATCCGAACTATATGTTATACAACTCGGTGAACTTAGCACATCCTGAAAGTTTGAAGGAAATCAGTCGAAAACTGTGAGTTGGACAGGTGCAAAAAGAAAATTGAAATTTGACCATGACCTTGTACCGGTTTTTCTGACCTGGTGACCTGACCCAAGGTCACCCGGACCTGAAATGAAAAAGGTTGCCCCATAGGCTGTGCCAAATTTGGCGGCGCTGCGCGCCGCCGTTTTTACGCTATCTTCGAAAAACCTTAGGGGGGGGTCGCATCGACCCCCCTGCCAGGGCGAGGGTTAATTGTGCATGTTACCTACTTTAAATGCATATTTATAACGTAAAGCCTTGGAACGCACAAGGGATCGTTTCAGGCAAGATAAAAACATCTCCATTATGAACTTCAATATCATGATATGGTTTTTAATATAACCGTCCGGAGTCGGAGTCGGAGTCGATTTTTGAAAGCGGAGTCGGAGTCATCCTAAAATCCATCGACTCCGCAGCCCTGACTACGCCACCCGTCGGAGGGGAGGGGGGGGGGGCATTTCGCCGCCCTCCCCCTTAGATCTAGCAAAGTTACCGAACGATTCAGACGGTTTTCGATAGCCCCACCGGGAAACTACATTGTGACCGCACTTCATTAACCTGGGTGCAGCCGATGAAGTCACAGGTCAGGTCAAAGTCGAATTTTTTACCGTTTAGGGTAAGGTGCCTAATTAGCGACCCTTTCCTATTTGCGACCTACCTCCCTACAGAAAAACTGGCAGGAGAAAACGGGGTAAAAACATTGTCAAACGGTCAGCCATGTCTTAGTTATCAAATTAAATTATTTTCCGGTTGTCGATGTTTCTGGTGGGACGTTTCAGGTGAAGAATTTGAAACATGACGAGTTTCTTATCCAAAACGTGTATTTGGACTCTCTCTGATGAAAAGCGATGCACATAAGGACGATGCACCTTTTTATACTGAATCGACAATCCTTTTTAATTGATTGCCGTTTTCCCATAGTGAATCGCTTAACTGAGCACTGCATGGCGGCCCGCGCACTGACAGGGGTCTGCGCCAACTTCGTACCAACGGGGGGGGGGGGGCGGATGACCGCCCCCCCCCCCCTGAGATCTCGAGAACGAAGCAAGATAGCGACAAGCGGTAAACGGCATGGGATACGCACGGACAAGGTCTACAATTTTTACAAAGGTCATTTCAGGTCAGGTCAAAGATGACGTCACAGGGGTCAAAAAAGTCCAAATAGCGGCGCTAGATATGGAGTTTTTTCTTCGAAAAACTTTCGAACTAGTCAAGATAGGAACAAACTAAGGGCACCATCGTGATCCTCTCGTCAATCCGCATCGAATGATATATATGTTGACCTCGAAAGGTCAAGGTCAAAGGTTGACCTCAGGTCACGTGACCTCGAGGTCATCATGTATATCATTCGATGCGCCTTGACGAGCTGAACACAATGAGACCATCCGCGCGGCTGTATCTTGTTCCTGTACGGAGTTATTGGCATAAAAAAAATATTTGGTGACCTTTGATGACGTCATGACATGACCTTACAGCTGCCCAACAGCAAAACAGACCTCAAGGTAGTGAAGGTTGATCGTATATGAAGTCATGTATGTCCCTTAATGCCTGAAACAGACTCTTTCCGCAGTCAGGAAATCGCATGCGAGAGCTTATTCAAATACATGGAAGCACGCTCGCATCAATCGCACCCGCACCTCCCGGATGCGATTGCTGCGGGAAGAATTGTAATGTATTTGAATAGCCTCTCGCATGCGATTTCCTGAACGCAGAAAGAGTCTGTTTCAGCCTTAATTGAAGGTGTTCCGCCGCTACTGAATGGCGAGGTCAAGTGACCGACCTGACCTCAGTTAACCCTTAGGAGAAATCCGAGATTAACTTATTGCAAGACCTCTGGAGGATATAATTTCCTTGTAAGTTTCACCCCTCCCCCCTTGTGGGCTGTGAAAGTTCCTTTGGCACTGAGGATATTGCGAAGTTGCGACATTTTAGGACCATGCAGATGTTCACTTATTGCGCCATAGGTCAGTGACCTGACCTGACCTGAAAATGCGGTTGGTATTGTAAGATCTGGCGTGAATCAAATTATCAAAGGTCAGGTATGCCAGCTTTCAGCTCTCCTTTGCCGGGGTTTCCCAGTCATCGCGAAAAAAAACTGGGGGATACTTGGCCCTCGCCCTCCGTTGAACAATCAATGCACGGTCTCACCAAATACAGTCATGTACATTAAAAAAAAATCGGCATGCTGCCAATTCAATTTCGCCACTGTTGATGATCATTAAGCATGATCATGCAGACTTTGATGGTGTCCAAAACAGCCACGTTTCTCGATCGGTTTTAGCTTGAGGCCGTCCAGTGATTATTATTTCAGTTTCGCTAAAAGAGAAATATAATGCGATGTATTATCAATAGATTATGAATAAAAACTACCACATTCTATAATCGCATTCAGCTGTGGATAGATAGATGTCCCCTGAACCTCAGATAAACGTTTTACAATTATATATTTCATTCCACCAGACCAACAGCTGAACATCCCGCAGCATTTCTTGTTGACACGTTCAACACCGTACCAGACGGCAGAGCACACAAACACTATCTGACTGCGTTGATCGCGACGGCCTAACAGTCCATGATCACATTACTCCCTTAGCACCTAACTACGGACATCAGGATAAATCGATCATCCGAAAATGTTGGTACAACTACCCTACCCAGTTCATAACGAGTGACCGCATAAAACAATATCTGTTATCAGAAAAACATCGGATATTACCAGTCTTTTTGCACACCCTTTACACTGACGACATGATCAGCAAAAGGAGACTTCACCGACATACTGTGTCAGACTTACCCAGACCTGGCCAGACCAGTCTAGCAGTCTGGAAGTCTGACAGAGACTGACCCCGCGTTCGATGTCTCTCGGACGGCGAAGATTCTACGCCGTCCGGCCAATCGCGTTTCATAACCGCAGCCGAGCCCCCGCTGACCTTGGACGGGATTGGCCGGACGGCAAAGAATCTTTGCCGTCCGGGAGACATCGAACGCCGCCTGACTCTCAATACATCACGAGGGACTAACATTAGGCACCACCCGCTGACGCCGGAGCTGTGTCGCCATTGGAGGAGAGGTATCGCCCACTCCCGAGAGGCACGGCACCGACTTCAGAACACGGGGGTAGAGATGAACAACGAGCTCTGTGAACGACAGCGGATCACTGGTCAACAAGCGACCCTACCAGGTTTATGAACGACTATCGTAGCAAAAATAGGTAGCATTTGAGAAATGATACCCAAGTCGCCGCTAAACCTCGAAATATTTCATTACAATTATAGTTGTTGTAAATTTTGTTGTTCAGCTGGGACAAAGTTAAAGGGACCCTCCCACCTTAACATTAGATTTGAGTTGAGATAGCCAAAATGGGGTCCCTGGCTCACAACTACCGGTTTCGGCACTCACATCGAGAAATGCCTTAAATCGGAAATATTGAATTTCAAAATTGCAGCATTTTGATTCAGAGGGGCTAATGCTTAGGAATACCCCTCTGAATGTGTGACGTCAGCGCAGATATCTAACGATTTTTAAATGTTTGACTAAAACGTTTTGTAGCACGCGGTGGTATATGCTATTTGCGCGCAACATCTGCCGCAAACGCCGCAATTCTAAAATAAAGTCGCTAGAAACAGCGGAGATCCCAAAAAAAGTAAACAAAAGTAAAAGTCTAATATCTTGAAAACCGGTGAATATTTTTCGGTGAAATTTGGTAGATATTCGTTTTCGCTCTTTCTGAACCGAGCGACATCACTTCCATGCCAATTCATAAACTTTTTTGAAGGTGGGAGGGTCTCTTTAAGGTATAAAAAATAATAATAATAAACCTGGTGTCAAAACAACGTTTTATTCATTACAATTATGTATCGCGGGTGTGATCTACCAGACACTACCAGACAGCGCAAAAAAATATGCGTGCTTGATCGTTGCAGATGAGCACTCTAGAAAAGGTAATATGAAGCAAAAATGCTAAAATGTAAAGTGGAAAAATAGAAAGTAGGTACTCTAATACATCACAAAGAGGACGAGCTGCAAGATGAGTAATCTGACCCAAAAAGTCTCTCGTGAAACTGTTCCCTCTGAATATCAATTTTGGATGTCGGTTGATCAAGTCGGTCACTTCTACCCGTCATCCACACATGCAACACTATTCCGCCTCTCGCCTTCGGCACTGCTCACCATCTCGTCGCCCACACCTCCCCCGTCCCCGTCTACTCACACGCGGCGGCGTCATCCGTCTTCCGTCATCAGCCGTCATCGTCGTCATCAGACGGCACAAACAGGTCATTCTCCTCCAGGAAGCTGGCAAAGTTTTTACTGATGCTCGCTCCGAGCAGCAGGCCAGGTATGACGGTGAACAGCGCACCCACCACACCCAGTCGACTCCGGTAGGGCTCGGGCCGCACGCCGCCGGTCGGGAGGGTGACGGCTGTGCGCAGAGGTGCCGCCGGCCGCGCGGGGGTCAGCAGCGCGGCGGCGGACACCGAGCGCACCAGTCCGCGGAGGTGAGACATGACGCCGCCGCTGCTACCGCTGCTGCGGAGATGCTGGCCCTTGAAAGACCTGGTGGGCAAAGGGAAAGACGTCAATATTGGGAAGGGGGATGAACTGAAATATGCTATTGGGAAAACATGTTCACAGCTTACAATTGCACTAAAAGATTATCATAGCAAACCAGGAACTTCTTCTCTTGTATAAATCAAAACTTATACTTCATATAATTTATGCAAGTGAAATGAAAACTGTTTACGGTAAACAAGGAACTAAATCGGATAGAAATTTCATTTGAAAACTTCAGAAAACTTTAGTGACACTATCAAAAGAACACTGGTAAGGGCACCAAATTCAATTGTCACTACAAATAATATTTATTTGAAACCACAGCCTGATGTTTGGGCCTGGGAGCTGGTGCACCAGCATCAAATTTGAAAGCCCACAGGTGTTCTACTCTGCAGAAAAGAAATTGACAAAAATTGACAATTTCATATAACAAAGTGGAATTAGCAGAACAATTTGATTTCAGTGTGTCCTTAAATGATAAATAAAAATCAAAATGCCAGACGGAGCACTTTGAGAAACATCCGAAAGTAAACAAACCAACAGCACATTTCCACGGCCACCTTTTTGCCATTTGCTTCTCACGCTGACACTTCATGTTGACTAGCATGATTCACTTTTCCAATGAACTATGAAGTGACGGTGATAAACATGCAGAATAAAATTTCTGTTATTGCATACAATTTTATCACATCCACCATTTTCAGACTAAATTGAAAGGAAAAAAATAATGAAGTTTTCCCATTATTTTATAAGGACTTGCGAGTGACAGTTCACGAAGTTGGACACCTTATGGCCACGATTGGTTAATAATTACTGAAAGCGCACCTTCAAATGAAGCAATTTCAGTTTATTCACCACCAAACTATCACTTATCGTTGTGCATTATCTATCAACAATGCAGGTTGGTTGGTTTGGGTTAAGCACCACATCCAGTGGACCAAGGTGCTAACCGGAACTCTCACGCTGTTCCAAGCGGTCAGGTAGCGGCAATGTCACGTGCATTGCCCGGGAATCGAACCCGGATGGCCGAATCTAGAGGCAAGTATCTTACCCCTAGACCGGAATGCTCCCCATCAACAATGCAGATTGCAAATCCATTGACGGGATTTCGCCTACCCACGCCACTTACGCCGCAACAAGTACTGATACCATATTTTCATAGTGAAGGAAAAACTTCATAAAGCGTGATCTCCTTTGCGGCATCTTGCTTTGCGGCTTGCTTCGCGACCTCCACCACGTCGTTCTTGTAACTGCCTACTTGTCGTTTCTAGATGTCTGTCGTCCTCAAATATCTTTTAAAGCGTGGATACTTTCAATATGTCGAGTTTAAATATCATTTGACGATCACGTACGCTTACGACACAATAACGACCGGTTTCCAAAATCCAAGTCACGGCGATCCCACAAGAATCTTGGTAGTTGGTCTTACCGTTATCCGTGAACACAGACGACAGACGACATTTTTCTGTGGATATGCCGACCCAGTGCTGACCATAATAGTCTCCCAAAGAGGCAAACATTACGAATGACAACTCGACGACTGACGTGCCTCGGCACCCCCTACGCCTCTAGCAAAGAAACAACAGGCTCGAATTTATCAGCGATGAATAGTCCATTCCATTCCAGTTATTCGTTCCCCTGCCCCCCATATCAGTCAGCTCCGCACTGCCAGAAACCACCCTGGTTTGCCGATGCTCGTTTATTGGACCCGTCGGACTGCCTTCACCAACACGGTCACACCACAGCGGAACAGTGGGAAACAGCAGCGGAACGGAACAGCGGCGCCAAGTCACCGGTCCACCGCGGGTCATTAGAGGTCATCACAGGTCATTAGATGACATCAGGTCATCAAAGGTCAGAGTGGTACGTAGCTGACCTCGAGTCATAAGACAGTCGTCACATGCCGCCGGACAGTACAAGAATGACCTCAGGACGGCACCATAGGTTACTCGCCCGTTCACAACTAGCCTCATGGGACCACAGATTACTAGCCAATTCGACATAGCCGGCCTCAATCATAATGCATCGTCCGCAAGCTGCCTGAGGTGGAATTTCATCGTTGAATCACCAGAGGTCGACAGCAGTGCTTGGCAGAGCCCGTTCCCGGTCTTCCCGGTCGTCAGAAAAGCCACCTGAGTTCCCGTCATATTATGACCTGCAAAAAGGTGGACACATCTTGTTAAAACATGATAAAAAATGAACGATTCATACAACACAGCTACACCAAAACGGTTTTCTCTCCCTCAAAATGTTGCGACGAATTAACTATAAATTCAATTAGCTTCTATAGCGTACTACGCACCACAAGATGTCTCAGAGGTAACACTATCATCACAGTGGAGTGGGTATCGGTCCATATCCGCATCTTTGCAGATTAGGGTATTTGATTCAACTGTGTCGCTTTGTTATCGAGTAGGACCCTTTTACCGCAGGTAAGCACAATACAGCCTGTGGTTGAAGCTTCCTTTGGATAAACAATCAACACAGGCGCTCGAGTCTGCCTCTGTGACCACCCCGTCCGTTCCGGCCCGTAGATGAGACACGGAGTCGGTCAGTGGACGGGGCGGGCGGTCGCTCTAGCCGGGGATAAGAGTACGTCTGGCTACGAATAGGCCAACCGACGGTGTTGTCCGGCATAAGTTCAAACGCACGACCCAGAGACTTTCATGGAGGAGAGAACACATGGTTCACACTTCACATACGTCCAATCGAAAGACATTATGTGAGTAGAGTAATGGATGCACGCATTAGCTGCATTTGGTAGATAAAAGAGAGCACATCGTAATCTGTCTCACCTTGTCCGGAGGTAGACCTGGGTTGCTAAACTTCGTTGAAAGATTCCGCTACCATCTGTCGGCGGAAAACAACTGATGTTAGGGTAGATCGATTTATCACACGTCTCTTGTACTAGCAACGTAAGAGAAGTTCAGGAGCCATTGACACTTGTTCAGCTGCCGGGCATACTCAGCATCAACTACAGCTGTTGACCCAGATTATTGTAGGCCAATGAACGAGAGGATGTGCTATCCTAGAGACTGGCGAACATCGTTTGTTTGTTTGTTTATTGGGGCTTAAGGGCGCGCCAACTACAAGGTCATTTTGTGCCCATCTGACGAACATCGTTCCAGCTATTAAGAGGACGTTAGTCTCGAGGGGCTTAGTGCCACCGTTTACAGTGACTGCGAGTGCGCTGTTTCAGCGTCTGAGATCGGTCGTACGAAGGCGTCCGGACGACGTCTGGCCCGGCCGTCGGACTGCCGACTCGGCTACTGTAGCCGCCGGCCGGAGGGTCAGCCGGGTCTGTGGTACCCGGCACCCAGGGCAGGCCGCGGCTGAGTACAGTTAAAAATGAGAATAAAATCAAAATACACATACATTCACGACAGAGTTCCCATATGCGTTAGCCTAACACACCTGCCCTATGCTTCAACACTAATCCTAGCTCAAGGAGTATAACAGAATGCGCATTGCGCAGCTCCCTCGCAAAAAGGACCAGGGAAACTTGCCTCAGCTCAACCCGACACATTATCGACCAGACCTCAGTCCAGTCCCAGTGCTGGTGTGTCCCGACTCTCTTCACGTCTCTCCTGACTGATCAGCCATGAACCCTGTAGGAAACAACACAGAAAAGTCGTTAAATAGCGGCAATACCGACCAAACCACGATCAGCTGGGGTAGAGGAGAGGTGGTAGTGGCCTGTAGCCGTCCTAGTCCGTTCCAACTCGCAAGCAAACACGAAGCCGGTCAGTGGACGGGGCGGGCAGTCTCTCTAGCCGGGGATAAGAGCCGGCTGGCTACGGATGGACCAGCCGACGGTGTTGTCCGGCATACAGTTATATCGTTTGCAAACCAACGCACCCAAAATTGATAAAAAAAAAACAAGGCGATCAGAGGACTAAATATGAACAGGGGAAAAACGTCTGTGCGCACGCAGCACGGGGGTCGCGAAAAAAGACAACGGTCAGACCATCCAGCATTGACCTAAGCCCGGGTAGCTGTAAGGTTTCCAATTTGAATAAATCAATCGCAGCTTGAAGTCACCGACTCGAAATCCAACCACTAGAGCAAAAAGATGAAACTTTTTATCGTAGGTATTTAAAACCCCGCGGCTCCAAGGAGAAAAATGACGATTTTTTTGCCAGATATTTTCCTTCTCTACAACTCGCTAGTCTCACCTTTTGCCAAGTCAGCGGACGGAGAATGGCACAGCTGATGATACGGCGACGGTTCCCCTTCAGCCTCACATCTTGACAGTCCGACAGGTCTCCAATTATAACGAGCATCGGCGCCTTTTTCCGTTTGCATAGACCAACGCCAGTTTGTCGGCCGGCTGGCCGCTCCAGCCGCCGACCGACCATAGTAACAAAGCTATCTCCTCCGAAGGTCGATGATGATGACGATGATGATACACACTGCAAAGCTGTCGCCGTTGGCCGTCCCCCGGTAAGTCAGTCCGTCAGATCACAGTACGTAAAGCACGCACAAGTAACAATCGATATAAATATGATCATGATGTCGACGCGGCAGCCCGGCCACCACCGCCAACCGCTCTGCCATGCCCCACACTCTCTCACTCACACACAAACACACACCGCGTAACGGCACAGCTAGATAATCTGGAACACTTTCTTGAGTTCTATCATGAGTTGCCAGTCAGGCTTCGTCAAGTCTTCACGGAAGTAGTTTTTACATGCGTCTATCGACTCGCGACTGATGCGGCTGACAAGCATGTCCGTCTCGTCAAAGTGTCGGCCGAACATCTTGGGACTCTCTCCAGGAACTGCTTCGATCTTGATGCACACTTCCTGACCCTTGCGCGCGACTTCCACCTGCTTGTGGTTGATCTCCACCGTGGAGATGTAGCCAAGGAAGAGGAACTCCTTGCTGGGTACGCAGATTGGCGTGCCGGTCTTCACGATGCCCGCCTCAACGCTGACACCCATCACGATAGGATCTCGAGAGTTGAAGATAAACTGCGGCAGAACACGTATCTTGCACGGGAACACGGCAATGTGTTTGTGTTCCTCGCGCTTCTTGTTCTTGAGGTCCTCGCGGTGCTTCATGAACTTGTCGAAGAGGTGGTAGATGATGTCCGCCTGGAAGATGGTGACGCCCGCAGAATCGGCCATCTCCTGAGCGTCTCGCTCCACCTTCACGTCAAACGCCAGGATCACAGCGAACTCAGGGTCTCGGTCCAGCATCACAGAGGCCTTCATCACATCACGTTTGACCACCGGCCCGATCCGCACACCCGAGTAGGGGATCTTCGAGGTGCGCAAGAACTCTAGCAGAGCCTCCAGCGAGCCCAGCGTCGACGCTTGCACATAGACACCGTGATCGCTCAGCTTAATGGCGCTAAGAGCCGATCGCAGCTCCTTCGCTACCAGTGCCTTGCATATCTCGATTTCATCCGGGTGTTCGGCGACCATCAAGTTGAGTCCAGCGATCGCCTTCTCCAGCTCCTTCGCAGCGATCTTCACACCCTGCGCCGCACGGATCTCCTTGAACTCCTGATAGGCGTTCTTGACGCGCAGCTCCTTCAGCGGCTGCGGCATGAGCAGCGAGCGGATCTGGGTGACTATCGGCCCATCAGTACCGGCCACGACGATCGTGCTTCCCTCGCGTAGCGTGCCGTTTACCAGAATCACGTCGATCGTGGTACCCAGACCGGGGATCTGCTTCACCTCCAACACAGTGGCTTGCAGCTCGTCAGAGTACATCAGCCGCTTGGTCAGCATGTTCTGCGTCATCATCACCACCAGTGCCATCAGGTTGCCCATGCCCTCACCGGTAATCGCACTCGTCGGTACCAAAGACAGATACTCGCGAGGGTTGTCGTTCTCATAGAACAGCTTCGCGTTGAGACCCTGCTCCGCCAGCTGGACAATGGTCTCGTTCGTCCTCTGCTCGAACTCCAGCACCGTGTTGCGGGCCTGGCTTTTGCAGATGTCCTCGACGTCCTTACCGCGTCCCGTCTCCCAGTCGTACAACCGGTCGATCTTGTTCAGCGCCACAACGAACGGCGTCTTCTTAGTCTTCAGCATGTTGATCGACTCGATCGTCTGAGGTTCAAGACCGTGCATAATGTCGACAACCAGG